ATAGATTACGGTTCCATAGTATATGCATCTGCTAAAGAATACTTATTACACCACCTTGACGTAATTCAAACTACGGCATTAAAAATAGCTACAGGAGCATTTCGGACCAGCTCAATTGAAAGTTTACGAGCAGAAACTGGAGAGCCAGCACTTAAATATAGAAGGATGCACTTATCTCTCATATACGCCTTTGCTGCTAATTCTAATCCCAATAATCCATCTAGAAGTAACATATTTACTGATCGTTTTAAAAACCTATATACTAAAAATAGGAACATGTTTCGATGTACAAAGATTGGACAGGATTGGACTTTCAAAGTTTAATAAGGAAAGCCCAAAATAGAGAGAACTTTGCAGAGATCATCGCCAACCTTCGCTAAGAAGACGGCACCCAAAGTAGAAGATAAACTACCATCTTTAACCTGTATACATACTGGCGAGCTATACGCCATATATTAAGCTCTCGTTCATATTAACTCCAGTAATGTATCCAATGCTCTTATAACTATGGATTTTCTCAGTTCCATAAATACCATTAACCAACTGTACACGAAGCATCTAATTGCTCTTCTAATCAAAACAGAACTAGCTACTATTTAAAACAATAACTATACTGTACAATTCCTATGAATTCCTTCACACATTGACCTTGAAGCAAATGAAGAAGCGGATCGTACAGCCCAACAAGCCAGGAACAGTGAAACCGTGAGTGAAGTGAGAGATGTAGTTCTTAACGATTTAAAATGAAAGTCGAAAATCTTTGGCCAAACCAGTGGGACAGTTCAACTTCAAAACTTCGCGAAGTGAAAACGTTTGTAAAACCGTGGAAATCTCAAATTCCCAACAGAACTCACCAAGTCATTGTTACTTATCTTCGTATAGTATATACCACGGACACATAATTGGTCACACTAATCCCACTTTATGTGAAAACTGTAATATCTCACCAAGTGTTAAGCATGTACTTGTAGAGTGCCCAAGATACCAGTTGCAGAGACAGAACAACCATTTCATCGGATCAATAAGTGAAATCTCAGAAGAAAATTGTAAAATTGTGAACATTTGGTACAATTCTTTAAAGATATTATTTTTGTATTTAACAAAATCTAATATTTGTAAATAAATTATCTTATGTATATATGTCGCTAGAGAAGAGAAAGAAAAGCAGAAATACCTAAAAAATTTTGCAAAAAACGAAAAAGGCAAAGGCAAAGACGTTAAAATTGGTTACAACAAGGTGTTAGTAAACCAAGAAGAATGGAGATAAAACAAAATAAAAAAGGAACTGAATAAACATCCAGGGCGACGAATAGGAACAACGATAGGAAAAAGCACAACGCAAAGGTAAACAAGGATGAAAATAGGAAGAAGATGATAGGTATACCGTAGAAAAAAAGAGAGATAAAAATGGGAACATGGAACGTAAGAAGCATGAATGGAAAAGAGGTAGAACTTGTAGAAGAAATGATCAGACAAAAAATAGAAATATTAGGAATAACGGAAACGAAAATGAAAGGAAGAGGTTTTAAAACGATACACAAAGGATATTGGTTATTTTGGGTAGGAGTTGATGCAAAGGAGAGAGCAAAAGGAGGCGTAGAAATAATAATTGCACCAAATAGACTACAATATGTTATAGAAGAAACATATGTTAACCAGAGAATATTATCGCTGAAAACGAAGCTGATAGACCAGAAAATGTGGACAATAATAACAGCCTACGGAGTAAATGAAGATACAATAAAAGAAAGATAAATTTTTCGAGGAGCTCCAAATGCAAATTGGCAATGGGGAAGAAAATATGATTGTCATGGGAGATCTAAACGGTAGAGTCGGAAATAATAACAATGGAATTAAGGAATGCTTGGGAAAAGAAGGAGAAGAAATACTAAACAAAAATGGTGAAAGAATAATAGTAATATATGTATGCAGAGAAAACTTGTTATAGCAAATACAAAATTTAAACATAAAAAAGTACAAAAATACACGAGAGTACAAGAAAGCAGAAATGAAAAATCAATCATAGATTACTTTTTGGTAAGTAGCAACAAATGGAAAAGAGTACAAGAAACAAAAGTGAAACGAGGCTCAAAGATCGGCAGTGATAGTCATCAGGTAATAATGAATGAGAACAGCAAAAGAGAAGGAAGAAAAGAGGAGAAAGGTAGTAAATAAAAAAGTAAAAAGCTACAAATTAAAAGAAGAAAGACATAAGAAGATATTCGAAGATATATAAGAAGATATATAAGAAGAAAAAAATTAGACAATATTTTGAAAGGTAGAGCAAAAACTGCAAGTATAGAAGAAAAATGGGAAAATCTCAAGACGAATTTAATCACAGCTGCTGAGAAAACTTGCGGCATGACAAAAATAGCAAATACTAGCATAAGGAGAACTGAATGGTGGACGGACGAAATACGAAAGAAAATAAAGAACAAAAAAGAAAAATGGAAGAGATATCTAAGTACAAAGAGCACTGAAGACTATGACGCATATAAAGAAAAAATAAAATAGGTTACAATAGCTGTGAAAGGAAAAATCAAAAACTCTTTTATGGCGCACTAAAACAGCTCAGACAAAAGAAAGAACACATGATGCCGAATATAAAAGACAAAAATGGAAAGGTAATAACAGAAGAAAACCAAATAATGGAAAGATGGAGAGAACATTTCAAAAAGCTAACTCATACAGACGTATACTAGCAAAAATAGCAAATACTAGCATAAGGAGAACTGAATGGTGGACGGACGAAATACGAAAGAAAATAAAGAACAAAAAAGAAAAATGGAAGAGATAGCTAAGTACAAAGAGCACTGAAGACTATGACGCATATAAAGAAAAAATAAAATAGGTTACAATAGCTGTGAAAGGAAAAATCAAAAACTCTTCTATGGCGCACTAAAACAGCTCAGACAAAAGAAAGAACACATGATGCCGAATATAAAAGACAAAAATGGAAAGGTAATAACAGAAGAAAACCAAATAATGGAAAGATGGAGAGAACATTTCAAAAAGCCAACTCATACAGACGTATACAACATAGTAGAGATACAAGAAATAAATGAAGAACAAAAAGTAGAAGCCATAACAACAGAGGAACTAGAAAAGGCAATTGAAGAGTTAAATTAGGCAAAGCACTAGGCAAGAATCATATCACTCCGAAAATGATAAAATTCATGGGAATAGAGGGAGTGGACAGCATGAAAGAACGAATGAATGATATCATAAAGAGAGCAGAAATACCACACGACTGGAAGAAAGACATTATACTACCAATACACAAAAAGGGCGACAAGAGAAACTGTAATAATTACCGAGGTATTACTATATCAAGTATTTCTGGGAAGGTATTCGCAAGATAATAGAAACAAGAATAAAAACCCAAATAGAACCAACTATGGAAGATACACAATGTGGATTCAGGAAGGAAAGAGGAGTTGACAGGATAACAATTGATGTAATAAAGGATATGTACAATAATAATACAAATACGGTGAAATCCAATAACGAGTAAACCGAAGAATTTACTACAAGTCAAGGCGTCAAACGGGGATGCGTGTTGAGCCCACTGCTGTTCTCAGTGGTAATGGATGAAGCAATAAAGAAAGCCAAAAGAAGAATGAGAAAACTAACATTAGGATACTGTCAAATGAAACAGACTCAACTATCAGAGCTTCAATTTGCAGACGACATGGTTTTGATAGCAGAAAACAGAGAAGACCTACAGAACAACCTTGAAATCCTAGAAGAAGAACTGACAAACATAAATATGAAGATAAATACAGAGAAAACAAAAACAATGATAATTTCAAATAAGAGAAAGACACACGCAATACAATTAAACGGAAAACAACTAGAACAAGTGGAACATTTTAAATACCTAAGAGCAATAATTGAATCAAACGGTAAACAAGACATGGAAATAAATGAGAGAATGGGACGAACAGGAAGCTTATTTAACACTATGAAAACAACATTTTTGGGGAAAAAAGAAATACCGGAGAAGGTAAAAACGGCAGTCCTTAAGTCAGTAGTTATACCTACAATTATGTATAATAGTGAGTCATGGATATTGACTGGGAGACAAAAATCTCGAGTTAGTGCTATGGAAATAAGGTTCCTGAGGAAAATAGCAAACAGAAAGAGGGCAGACAAAATAAGAAATGCAACAATCAGACAAAACCTAAAACTAGAACCAATAAACGAAAAAATAGTAGAGGGACAACTAAGATGGTTCGGGCACGTGTGTAGAATGTCGAATAAAAGATTAGCAAAACGAGTGTTTAAAACGAGAGTGCAAGGGAAAAACAAACGATGAAGAGCAAGAGTTAGGTGGGTAGACGAAGTCAGAAAAGAAGTTAAGAAGAAAGGATTGACATGGGAAAATGCACGACATCTAACACAAGACCGAAAAGCATGGAGACAACAGTGCAAAACTTAAAACCACCAGCCTTACACCTAACGGTAGAAAGGCTTAAGACTAAGTAGGACTAAGTAGATATGTCGCTAATAACTACAGAGGTTAATGCGACTGCTTTGTAAAATAAAAAAAAATCAAAAAATACTATTCAGGCACAAATTAAACTCCTAATTTGTATTGTATTGCAATACCTCTCTAGTTCAAATTATATTTGTGTACGCGTCTAGGTTCAACGGTATAAGTTACATTTCGCGTCGCAATTGACTTTTTGATGAATTGATGTTTTATTTGTGAGATTATAAATTGGGTTTGAACACTTTTGAGCACGTAGTCTAATTAGAATATTTACAACATTGAGAACCTAAGTCATTGTTTTAAGGTTACAGTGAGTGTATACTTATTTATTAGCTACCAATGAAATTATAGTCAACGACTTTCAATTTTTCATGTCGTAGATTGAGAAGTTAGAACAAAGAGCAATCGCAATAATATTCGAATAATGACATCGATTTTTTACTCCATTGATTTTTATACCATTATCCTATATTATTACGACTAAATGTATTAAATATCTACTGACCTGCTGTAGCTGCTGCTGCTTCAACACCATTTTCGTTAACGTCAATAAATGTCTTTTGTATAACAAAGTCTACTTTAAGTGGACCATTGGAAATACCAGAAAGTTCATTTCCGGGATTGAACATTTTTCTAACTCCCAACTAAAAAGAAGCAATTTTGTAAATAAGGAATAAAGAACAAAATCACATAAGAAAATAAAAAAAAATACATTAAATAAAATAATATTGTGTAAGCTTAAATAAATATAAAAGATGGAAACTGTAACTTTGTAAACATTATTCTGCTAAACTTTATTTGTAGTTAGGTTCTGCCATTTGTGTTTATATTTTGTTAACAGTCTGACAGCCTTTATAAAACACTTAGTGGCAGCCCTAGCTTTGTCTTTATTTTTTTTATCAAACTTTTTTTATTTACAAATTCGCATCAACCCGAAGGTTATTAGCGAGAATCAGATTTACAATATTAAATATATTATATATTAAGAAAATTAATAGCTTTTAAGTAGTTTAACATATTTGTGAATAAACAATTTGCACCAAGTGCTTTCTCTAAGTTTATTGAGATACCATAAGTAATTCTTGCTGTGGAGAAACTGGACAGTCTACAACAACATGTTTCACCGAGAGTTTAACGTTACACTGCTCACATTTTGGTTCGGATTCTCTGGTGATTAAGAGCTTGTGTGTGGCACTGGTATGACCTAATCTAAAACGAGTTATTGTCACTTGATCCCTTCTTTTAGTGGGGAAACATCTCCATGGTTTAATGTTCGGTTTAATATTCCAAAGATTGCACACTGAAAATTCCCACCGGTTTTGCCACTCACTTAGGATCCGCGATTTGACAACACTTGAAACATCAATAGCTATCACGTATATCACAATAATAGAGTCAGCTGAGTTGACGGCTTCACGCGCACACTTATCTGCTTCAAATTTATTTAATGATTGGTTTGTGAGCCGTCACTGTCTGTATCGGATACTAGGTCCTGTGGGATTTGCATCTGTAAGTGTTTTAGAAGAATTTTTCTTAATTTGGTAATTCGTGTCTTTGTAGATCTGTCTTGAGTATAGGGGTATATTTTGCTTAACATATCGATAAGAGCTGTAAAGTTGTTTGTATAATTTTCAACGGTAGTAAGTGGATCGGGTGAATTCTTTATGTTGTCGAATAGGTCTTTCATCTGAACATAGCTTAAAATAAATGGTGGTGACTGCTGGTTTATGAATGCTTCTAGAGATTTACCTTTATTTTGTTTTTTCTTAGGATTCGATGGTATTTCTGCTGGACTGGTAAACTTCGGTTTATTAGTGGTATCATTGGGAGGCGGAGAAGGACTTAAGGTATCGCCAATAGTTCTTTTTGAACTGTTCTGTGAAGATTCAATTTTCATATGTAAAGTAGTTGTTTCGCTCGCAGTTTGTTTTATATTTAGTTGATTTTCTGTAGTTGCGGTGCCTGTTTTACTTGAAGTAGATGTCGGTGTGATGGTTGATATTTCTGGAGGGCTACATGTTGAGATTTCTTCTGCTGTGGTTGGAGAAGTAGGATTTGGGTTTGGGTTGATAGGGCTTTTGCAGTTAGTTGCCGTATGCCCATTTTGTTTACAGTTGTAACACGTTAGGTTGCCGCTTGATAAAAAGATTCTATATGAGGTATTATCGTAATTAATTAGAAACGATTCTGGAATTATAAGATGTGTTGGGCTGACAAAGATTTGTCTTCTAAAGCTAATTATATGACAAAATTCGGGTAACGGTGCACCAATCTTTAAAAAGAACATTGTAGGTAGAGTAACAAGCCCCATGAATTCAAGTTCTTTAATTAATACAACATAAGGAATGGATGGGCAAACATTAGAGAATACGATTCTTTGGGACGGAGTTATATACCGTCATATACCGGTTATTAACTTCAATGTTGCCGTTATTTTCATTCATGAATTTTTCTAAAATATTTTCAGATGATAAATATAAACATATTCTACTGTTTGATAATCTACAGCAGAATGGTATATTTTTTGGATGGATGATTTCTCCCAAGGGGAGGAGGTAATATTGTATTTTCGCATTTTCAATGGAATTAAAAATGATAGCTTGTCGTTTTGACGGAAATTTTTGTTGTGTTAGTGCGGTAGAGTAACTTCTTTGTCTTTTGAGAATTGCCTGGTCAATTTATTTCATTTACTTGCGACATATTCGTTGATGTTTAAACATTCCTAAAGACGGACCTGTCCGGCGCCGCCAGAAAAAAACCGGCTGGAGATACAGGTCAATGGTAATTAAATGTTTTTGTTTATCGTCAAGCAAATATGGATATTAAAATGTTCAATGATGTTAAATACGGACTAATTATATATTTTCGGTGAAATTTACAGTAAAACTGTACTTACAGACTAGCAAAAGTGAGTTCAGTTGATCACTAATAACTTCATGAAACGTAGTTAAATTTTGAAAACTTATTCTCACTTAATTTGAACTATTTTGGAGAGCCAAAAATAAACACACCGTTCTGATATACCATTATCTATCAAACTTTTTTTGCTTAAATTTGTACCGTAATTGAATATTTGTTATAAGTATTTAAGTATTTAAAACTGGACCAGTGTTCGACTTGGTAAATGTTTAGTGTATATTTTTGTAAACTTCCTGTACATATTTTCTGTTGCAATAGTTTTTAAGCTATTTGTTTTTCAGAACTTGTCCCATCACTTATTTCAGTTAGAGGTTAAAAAGTATTATATTAAAAGAAATTGAAATCTTCCATTTCCAGTCATAAATAAAAGTGGTTCTGGCATTCTTCTACCTACTTTTATAACACAATACTTATGATAACAGCTATTTTCATGTTTACTTATCTTATTTTTCTTTTCTTTGTCTTTATAAGTAGTTCTGCTTCTTGATTGGGGATTGGGGATTGATACCTCTATGGAAGGTTTTCACTCGATCTTTTGCGTGGTCGTACGATTCGTCTAAATTCTATCGACTGTTTATTTATCTCTTGTCATTTGGTCTACTCGGATCTCTCCCATTTTACTTATGTGGTTATTTCGTTCTTTTTTCTGTAAAGTTTCTAATTATTTATACACTCTACGTTATATTTCCTTATACTCTCTTCACTGCCCTTTCGATCTATCAGCTTATTTACTGTAAATCTACTCAGAACTCTCATCCCTGCCATTTTCAATTGAAAACGTCATTATTGCTCTTACATTGACCTTGTAAATTCTTGATTTTATCTCAGTATTACTATGTCAATTTAACTATATTGTTTTATTAAAGCATCTTGCAAGTCTATTTGCTTTTTGTATTTGAACTTTTACTTCTTTGTCCAGGTCTCCATAGCCCGACAGTGTAATTTATTGGTATTTTATTTTGATTACTCGTTTATTTCTGATGTCATCGATTTTTATTTTAAATCTGATTGGTTTTGTTTTGCTCTTATGTTAAATCTGTAGACTAGCCTCTGCACACTATCTTCACTATTATTAATGCGTCGTCTGCATAACAGGGTATTTTTATTTCTTTTTATCTTATTTTGTCTCCTTTTCTTTTGTTAAGGGCCCGCGTAGCGCAAGCGGTAGTGTGCTTGCCTCGCATGCCGGTGGTCGTGAGTTCGAATCCTACCGCCGGCAAGAACAACTAGGCATTTTTAAAATGTCTATAGGCCCCAGGTCGACTCAGCCTGAATAAAATGAGTACCTTGGGTAAAACCAGGGGTAATAATAGGCGGTTGAAGCGTAGCACTGGCCATGTTACCTTCCTTGTATACCGTAGGCCCTAGATATAGCAGACTACCCTGCTATACTCCCAAAGCCGCGTGCGGTATAAAACGGGAGACTATTATTTATTCTTTTGTTAATACTTTTGATAATTTTATCTATGTTTAAATTGAAGAGCGTAGGGCTTAAAGAGCTTGTGCCTATTTTTAAAGGTTCTGTAAGTTGTCCATCTATTCTAACTTTCATTTTGTTGTTTTGGTAGATGTTTTTAATAGTTGTTATGATATTTAGAGAAATTTCTCTATTATATAGAAGATGAATTACATCTTTGCGTCTTACTCTGTCAATTGCTTTTATAAGTCAATCAAATATACTCTACTATACTGTAGAGATTCCTCACTTATTTGCTTAATGACGAATATTGCATCTGTACAATCTTCCAGTACGAAAACCCTGTTGTTCATCTGCTAAACTTATCCTCTTTTAGGTTTCTTGTAAAATTGCAGTTGTAAGTTTTAGGGTAGTAAAAAATAATGACGGTATTGGTTTTTATTTTGATGCAGGGCACCCGCAAGCCGCTTATACGTATTTGAACTTCTTTAGGTCTCATTAGAATGACAAGCAGGTGCACTAAATCGAAACAAAATCTATTCCGTCATAGAACAATAATAATTATCAAAATATTTGTATACAGACGTTACAATGCCATTTAATAAAAACACTAGGAATCCTAAGATTTCCTACTTGACAAAACTAAATTCAAATCTTTACCACTGTGCTTGCTAAAACTTGGCAACGGAATTTACAATATGCATTCCACATGCCGTTAATCATGGTCAAAATTCGTAGTGAATTCAGTTTCTGGTACTCCAAACAGAGTAAAAATCTTTGCAAGAAGAGAACTTCTTGCAAAGTTGCATTTATGGGAGAGATCTGGTTGCGAATGTTGATGTCTACAGATTCTGTGGTAATCTTGTGTGTAGAAAAGATCGGATGTAGTACTGAATCGCTAGAGTTTTGTTGAAATATGTCTACGAGGATTTCATGAATTTCGTTTCTACAAGAGATGATTTAGTTGTTATATGAAAGTGCATTTATTGAGTAAGGTAAACTTGATCCCTTTATTTTCTTTATTTTGTTCCAGATTGTATTTGCTGGGGTAGATGTGTTAATGCTTCTAACATATTCAATCCAGGTCTACTTCTTACTCTTTTTTATTAAGAATCGTGTACTAGCTCTCAATCTTTTAAATTTTATTAGGTTTTCCTCTATTTTGTGTCTCTTAAGAACGTTAAAGGCGTGCTTGCTAGCAGCCAAGGCCCGAGAGATTTCTTGATTCCACTAAGGTACTGGTTGCCTTTTACACGGTTTAGTTTTTCCTACAGATGTAGATGCAAATATTAGGATAATGTTGTTAAA